CACTACCTGTCTTACACAGAGGAACAAGGCTAGCCCCTCTGTCCATAATGATCCATCTGCTACTTAAACCTATCTGGACCAGAACTAAAACATCTGCAGATGTCACATGTAGAAAACCCAAACCAACTTCCCCAATAACTTCCATAGTTTGAACCTACTTCCCCACTCTGGTATGACACAGAATAAGTTCAAAGCTTATTTTTCACAGGAGCACCTCAAGTATTTAGAGGCAATCATCACTGTTTCCAGCTTCTCTCTTCCTAAGTTCTTTCAAAATGGCTTTTATTTCTTGTTTTTCCTTTGGCTATACTTTTCTTGAACATGTTTATGTCGATGATCTAAGTCTGATGTTTTATATATTTTATTGCTACATAATAATTATACATAGTAGCAGGATTCATTAGGCAATATTCATACATACATATAACAATTTGATCAGTTTCATTCTCTAGCACCTTCCGTTTCCCTTTCCTTGTCCCTCCCTCATCAGTTTGCTCCACTCTACTGATCTCCCGTCTATCATTATTTTAGTGTGTTATAATTATATTATTGTGTTATATATATGTATATATATATGTGTGTGTGTGTGTGTATGGAACTCATTATAGTATGTTCATACGTGGGCATAACATAATTTGGTGGATTTCGTACTCCAATACTTCCCCATGTCCTTTCCTCCTCCCTCCCTCTTGATTCCCTTCCACTACTCTATTGGTCTCCCTTCTATTTTTCTGAGATCCTTTGTTTTAGCTATTTATTTTTTTATGTGGTGCTGAGGATTGAACCCAGTGCCTCAAGCATTTGAGGCAAGTGCTCAACCACTGAGTTACAACCCCAGCCCTATGAGATCCTTTTTTAGAAATTATTTTCCCTTTCCACCCTCCCCTCTTCCACATAAGAGAAAATATTTGACTCCTGAATTCCTGAGTCTGGCTTATCTCACTTATGATGTTCTCCAGTTCCATCCATATACCATTAAATGACATTTCATTCTTCTTAATAGCTAAATAAAACTCCACTATATATATATGCCACATTTTCTTTACCCATTCATCTGCTGTTGAGCACCAAAGCTAATTCCATAACTTGACTACTATGAACTGCACTGCTATAAACACTGTTATACAAGTATCGCTACAATATGCTGATTTAGTGTTTTTAGATAAAACAAGGATAGCTAGGTCATATAACGGTTTCACGCTTAGTCTTTAAAGGAATCTGCATACTGCTTTCCAAAGTGGTTGTAACAATTTGCAATCCCACCAAAAAAAAAAAAAAAAAATGTGCCTTTCCCCCATATCCTCACCAGCAATTATTATTTGTATTCTTGATGACCACCATTCCAACTGACGTGAGATGAAATCTTGTTGTAGTTTTTTGGGTGTAGTTTTGATTTGCATTTCCCTGATTGCTAAGGATGTTGAACATTTTTTTCATATATTTATTAGCTATTTGTATTTCTTCTTTCAAAACATGGAACTTTATTTATTTATATGCAGTGCTGAGAATCAAACCCAGTGCTCACACATGCTAGGCAAGCACTCTACCACTAAGCTACCACTCCAACCCATTAGCTTTTTAATTTTATGACATCCCATTTGTTGATTCTTGGTTTTATTTCTTGAGCTTTAGGAGTCTTATTAAGGAAGTCTGTACCTGTGCCATTATGTTGAAGTGTTGACCCTATGTTTTTTTCTAGCATTTGCACAGTTTCTGTTCTAAATCCTAGGTCTTTGATTCATCAAAGCTTGTCTCTGCATAGACCCTTCTGGCAGTTAAGAACACAAGTTTTATAATCACACTGATTTGAGTTTCCTTATCTCTTGTGTCTGCTAGGATTATCTCATAAAATTGTGAAGACGAAATAAGATCATGCAATTGATAGCAGTTTATTAACTACAGAATATCAATATTCTTGCTTACATTATCCTTCACACCTTACAAAGTACCTATTCCTACTAACTTTATCCTCTAAAATTTTGACAACAATTCTATGTGATGGGCATCATTATCTATATGCAATTCATAGAAAACTGAAGCACAGAGAGGTTAAATAACCTGCCCAAGGTCATATAGCTAGCAAAAGATAGAACCCAGGTCAGATGTGAATCTCATGAGATTTTTCCATAAATGTAAAGGATGAACTAATACTTTAAGATAGCCCGAAGTAAGGATGGTCACAATGTTAAGGGACAGATAGATAAGAATGGCTGGAACATAAGGATAAGAGAATAATTCTATAAAATGGGCCCACTGAGTCAGTCACTGTGGCATATGCCTGTAATCCCAGTGGCTCAGGAAGCTGAGACAGGAGGATCACAAGTTCAAAGGCAGCATCAGCAAAAGCAAGGCTCTAAGCAACTCAATGAGACCCTGTCTCTAAATAAAATATAAAATAGGGCTGGGGATGTGGCTCAGTGGTTGAGTGCCCCTGAGTTCAATTCCTGGTACCACCAATAAATAAATAAATAGGCCCACTGGTGCTGACCCCAAAAGCAATTTGCCTACAGCCCCACTTAGTCTAAGTGGACAGGATGTGTCACATTCCTCAGTAAACTGAGGCACGGACAAAGGTCAGAAAGTCAGCATAGGTTATAAAAGGATGGGGGTTGAAAGAGGATGACATCTGGTCGTCAAAGAGAGAACAATGGGTTACTAACAGTTAACTTCAGTGCTCCTGCCTTTGGTCAAGGACATGGGGGAGAAAAAAAAAAGACAATAATTAAAGAGAGGATTCTGTGATTTATTAGAAAGCAAGTCTCATCCTGTCCCATGGGCTTTTTGTTTTGAAGGCCCCACTTCTCTTCAGAAAAGTCTGTCTCTATCTCCCTTTCTCAAATAAAACTTGCTCTCTATGTTTGCCTTGGGTCTGGGGTGTTTATTCTTTAAAACTGGGGAACAAGAACCTGTACCCAAGATCAGTATCAACAACACCACACACAATCAGGTGTCAAAAGATAATACTAGCTAGGAGTTCAGAAAAAAATGGGCACTTGAGCCAGAATGGTCAGAAAGGTTTTATAGAAAAAAAGAAATGTGAGCTGGGTCTTGAAGAATGGAGATTCCAATAGGTGGTGCCAAGGAGGAGGATACTCAAAGAAAGAAGGAATCACAAGATTAAAAATCAGGAATTCATGGTTGGGTCTGTAGCTCAGTGGCTGAGTGCTTGCCTAGCATGTGAGGCACTGGGTTCCATTCTCAGAACCGAATAAAAATAAACAAATAAAGGCCTATGTCCATTTACAACTACAAAACCAATTTTTTTAAAATCAGGAATTCAGCATTTGAAATATAATGAAAACCAGGCAAAATGGTCCTCTCCTATTGTCCCAGATACTTGAAAGACTAAGGCATGAAGATCACTTGCAGCTGGAGACAAGCCTTAGCAACACAGTGAAAATCCTTCCCAAGAAAGAAAAATAATGCAAAGAGTAAAGTAAGTAACAAAGGAGTCCGGAAGGGATCAATTAGACTTGGAGGAGTCCTTGTTATTTGTTAGATTATGGCCTTAAGGGCAGATTTCCTTAGGCTCTTTTGGAGGAAAGAATGGAAGGAAATAGTATTCCTTGAAAAATGATCAGGCAGGCATTCCACAGAATCAAGGCAAACACAACAGAAGAGTAGTCACCAATGTGACCATCTGTAACAATGGAATTTTCAAACTTTCTGATTATCTTACATTAAACTTACATCAGATCTGGCCAAATTCTCACAAATTGGCTGAGGTGAACAAGTGAGTCAGTTCATAAAGAATTGAGTAAGGGGGGCTGGGATGTAGCTCAAGCGGTAGCGCGCTCGCCTGGCATGCGTGCGGCCCGGGTTCGATCCTCAGCACCACATACAAACAAAGATGTTGTGTCCACCAAATACTAAAAAAAAAATATTAAAAAAAAAAAAAAAAGAATTGAGTAAGGGAGGGCCTCTAGAGAAACTCAAATCTAGAGACATTCAGGGGCAGCCCCTAGGTAACTACACATAGATCATGAACAGCAATGAGTATGCTGACTTGTGTATTACGGAGATACAGTCTCTACAACTTAATGCCTAAATTTTTAATGCAAATTTCAAAACAAACACATTAATCTAAGCAGCATGATACAACTGAAAGAGCCCACCCAATTGAAACTTAAATCTGTTAAAAGAATGAGCAAAGGGCTGGGGATGTGGCTCAAGCGGTAGCGCGCTCGCCTGGCATGCATGCGGCCTGGGTTCGATCCTCAGCACCACATACAAAACAAAGATGTTGTGTCCGCCGAAAACTAAAAAATAAATATTAAAATTCTCTCAAAAAAAAAAATGGGCAAAGCCAAGCCAGTGGTGAATGTGTTATTCTAGTAACTCTACAGCTACTCAGGTGGCTGAGATAGGACTGCAAATTCGAAGACAGGCTCAGCTACTTAGTGAAACCCTTTCTCAAAAATAAAGCAAAACAAGGCTAGGGATGTAGCTCTGTGTTAAGAGTACCCTAGGTGGAATCCCCAACATGGAGGAAGGGGGGAATGGAATGCAATTTTAAGAATGGAGTCTCAAACGATTCTGCAATAGCCACTTAAAGTTTTGAAACAAAAAGTGCAGTTTATCATTACTCTTCCCTTAATCACCAGGTAGCTTCACATCCCAACCAATTCAGCAAGACAAAAAAAATTTCAGCAGAAGAATTCTGGAAGTTGATTAAATGCAAAATAAAATAAAATGACCTGCCCAAGGTCAGAATATTTTGGGTAACCATATATCGGTGTCGGCTTTCTCTTTGTGGGCTCTCCCCTTCCCAGGCACGGAGTGGCAAGTGTGGCAAGTGGAAGGGGCGTGGCGTAGGTCTGTACAGCCCAGGCAGCCCAAGGCCGAGGAAGCAGAACATCCCCTTTGACTGCGAGCCCGCACAGACTGCTGGGAAGGGCCTATTTCTCCTCAGGTCTCATACCCGGATGTCTGCAAGCCTCCATCCCCACCTCTGCTCTCTCTACTCCTTTCCCCAGCGCCCTGCCTGGAATCTGTGTTACCTTCCCCAGGGTTCCGTTCATCTTTTGCTGCTGTGACCTCTAAAAGTGTAGACCGAAGATCCGCACCAGCAGTCGCGACCCCTTTGCGTCTGAAAACGCTGACGGAACGGCCTTGAACAGGTCCGGTAACAATATCCCACCGAGAATCACTTCACTACCGCAGCACCTTGGTTCCGGCAGCTTCCGAGACTCAACGTCGGGAAATGCCCCAGACTCCACTCCTAGCTACAGCTTGTGTCACCTCCACCGCTTTTTTTCCAGGCAGAATCAGTTGTCATCTCTGTGTTAGCCGGGTGTTTTGCACACAGTTCTGGCATCTCCTCTGCTGAACTATATATTTATTATTTGTTACCATCTCTGCCCCATATTTGATCGAGTTCCTTAAGGACTCAGACCCCGTCTGATTAATTCATTCCAGCGTCTAGCACAAGACGGGGAAATCTTGACTTCTGACCTCGATTTCAGAGCTGACTGACCCAATGTGAACCTGACATTCAGTTGCCTTATAATTGGCAACTTTTATCGAGTGGCCACCATGTGCAATACTTTATACTCAGTATATCACTTTATTCCTCACAACAATCCTATTAGGGAAATATCACTCCATCTTATAAAGATATCTCGATGCATCAAGAAGTTAAGGGAGCTGGGGCTGGGGTTGTGGCTCAGCGGTAGAGCGCTCGTCAAGCACGTGCTAGGCCCTGGGTTTGATCCTCAGCACCACATTAAAAAATAAATAAATAAATAAAGGGAGAGGCGGGTGGTGGTGTTAAGGGACTTGTCTCGGGACAGTTGAGACAGAGCTGAGTTTCAAAATCGGTGTGGTTTTGTGAAGTGTTTTATCTCTGACACACCCCTTCTTACATGAGATAAAATCACTTCACACGTTTACTTAACCCTCAGTAAATCAACCATTTGCATAACATACTTTATGCCAGCCCTTCGGTAGAATCCTGGGAACACAAAAATAAGTATTAAATGGCCCCTGACCTTGAGTAGCACATAGGAATTAGTGGGGAAGCCAAGTCATAAACAAGCAAATTAATGAGCAATTAGGAATTCACGTTACAGCAATATACACATAAACTCTGTGTACAAAGGGAGTGCATGACAGGTAAAGTCAGCATTATGTGAAATAATAAATATGCAAATTTGAAATACATTGTTTAACAATGAACAATTGTTGCTTTTGCTTAGCTTTTATTATTGTTATTGGCGAGGAAATGTATAAAAGCAGATGAATATGAATGAGGTTTCAATGATAGGTTAATTTGGTTTATTGCCAAAATCCCTATCCTAATATTTTATCAATGCTTCCTATGATGAAATTCTAAGGAGCCACTGAGAGAAATTTATATAAATCTACTTCTCCCCAAAGGTAGCTCTTCTCCCCTCTGTGGCAGATCTGCTAGGAGACTATGATTGTTAATTGTATGTGTCAACCTGACTAATGGGGTGTGCCCAGGTAGTTGGTGAAACATCATTCTGGGTGTTACTGTGATGTTATTTTGAGGTGAGACTAATTTTGGAGGGGTACCAGTGATTGAACCTAGGGGTGCTTAACCATTGAGCCACGTCCCCAGACTTTTTTTATGTTTTATTTAGAGACAGGGTCTTGCTAAGGGCCTTGCTAAATTGCTGAGGCTGGCTTTGAACTTGAAGTCCTCCTGCCTCAGCCTCTCCATCTGCTGGAATTTCATGCTTGTGCCACTGCACCCAGCTGAGATTAACATTTAAATCAGTGGATTTAATAAAGCAGATGCCCTTGGGGCTGGGATTGTGGCTCAGCAGTAGAGCACTCCCTAGCACAGGCGAGACCTGGGTTCGATCCTCAGCACCACATAAAAAAATAAAGGCATTGTGTTGTGTCCATCTACACCTAAAAAATAAATTTAAAAAAAAAAAAAAAAAAAAACCAGACTGCCCTACCTAATGTGAGTGGGCCTTATCCACTCAGAGATCTGAACAGAACCTCAGCAACTTAGTAAGGTCCTATGCAACTTAGAGAGACCCTGTCTCAAAATAAAAAATAACTTTTTAAAGGCCCTCTGTTCCCCTCTATGATGGCGGTTTCACATCCTCTGTGTTTTTGCTTTGCTAGCAAAAAAATAAAACTTCTTTTTCCTTTTTTTCAAAAAATAAAATACAAAGGTCTGTGGATGTGACTCAGTGGTAAAGCATCCTTGGGTCCAATCCCCAGTATCAATAAAATAAAATTTAATGTAATTTAATTGTTTAAAAAACCTATCAAATGCTGTGTGTGTGTTGGGGGGGGGGGTCAGATGAGATCTTTCCAGGTGTGTGGTTTAATTTAATCCCTCATTACCTCTGTGGGGCTAAGGATCCTTAAACCCATTGCATAGATGAGAAACAGAGACAGGAAGAAGGTACCTAGTTAATGAAAGGTCATAATATGGAACTGGAGATGTAGCTCAGTTGGTAGAGTCCTTGCCTCGCATGCACAAGACCCTGGGTTCAAATCCCCAATACCATCAAAAAAAAAAAAAAAAGGTCATTATGATGTAAGTGGTGGGCTATCCCTTTTCAACTCCTGTGTTCTCCCTGCTCCATAGGATTGTGACTGTAGGCTTGCAAAAGGGACAGATGGACTAAGACAAAGAGTTGTTGTCCTTGTCCAGTTCAGATAAATACAATCTGAAAAAATACAAATCTATCTTCATGTTGTTCATATACTCTGAAGAGTAGGAAAAGTGAAGGGAAAGGGAAAAAGAAGGAATAAAGGAAAGGTTCTTTGTTTATATGTAAAAGGATTCCCAAGGCAACTAGAATATTTCAAAAGGTCAGAAAATCTAGAACCCTAAATGGAGGTAAAATCAGAATCTATGGATAAAAAGATATCTTATCAGTATCCATGAATCCATTGGAATGAACATTATTGTTGCCAAATTCTACTGCTGATGTCATGTGTTATGGAGGTATATGAACTTACTCAACTTCTCACATTTTTCCATATTAAATGTGACCAGAAATCCTTATATATCCATCATTCTTTAGCTACTGACTAATTTTGTGTCTAGCCTCTAAAAACTAAGAATTTCTTTTATTTATTTATTTATTTATTTATTTATTTATGTTAGTTTTCAGCGGACACAACATCTTTGTTTGTATGTGGTGCTGAGGATCGAACCTGGGCCGCACGCATGCCAGGTGAGCGCGCTACCGCTTGAGCCACATCCCCAGCCCCCGATACAATATCTTTATTACTTATTTTTATGCGGTGCTGAGATTCAAACCCAGTGTCTCACACATGCAAGGCAAGTGATCTACCACTGAGATACAACCCCAGTCCCTGAGTATCAATCTTTAACTAGGTAGTAGATTAACCAGTTTCACTTTCTCCCAGGCATGGGACCTGCTGTTGCCCTTTCTTTGTTTCAGGGAACCGCCTGTGGCCATCAACCTAGAGTACAAAATGGATTGAGGTTCATCCAATCCCTCCTTAACCCCATAGGAAAGATGAAGAAAAGGGGATGGAATATTTGGTTGCCACTGCTGCCTCAAGTCAATCCTTCGGGTCTAAATTCTGGATGATTTTGCCCTTCGTGATGAGGAAATATTGGAAGAAAATCAGCTATGATAATAGGGCTAACGAAGAAAGAATCAAGTAGTAATTTATGATCACTTCACTTTAAAAATGATTGGACTTCCAGGCGTGATGGTGCACACTGGTAATCCTAACAAATTTGGAGCCTGAGGCAGGAGGATATCAAATTTGAGGCTAGCCTCAGCAACTTGGAGAGACCTTGTTTCCAAAAAAAAAAAAAAAAATGGTGTGGGAGGACTAGGTTGCTCAGTGGTAGAATGCTTGCCTAGTACATGTGAAGCACTGAGTTTGATTCTCAGCACCACATAAAAATAGATAAATAAAATAAAGACATTGTGCCCATCTACAACTAAAAATAAATAAATAAAAATGGTGTGGGATGTAGCTCAGTGGTAAAGTACCCTTGGGTTAAATGTTCAATCTCTAGTACCACAAAAAAAAAGAAAGAAAGAAGAAAAAGAAAAAAGGACAAATCCCTTTCTTTTCTCCTCCATGCCATTTTTCATGCTGCCATCAGAGTGAAGTTTTGTTTTTGTTGTTTTGCTTTGGGTACCAGGGATTGAATCCAGAGCACTTAACCACTGAGCCACATGCCTAGCCCTTTGTAAAATTTTTTTAAAAATTTGAGACAGGGTTTTAGTAAGTTACTTACAGCCTCTCTAAGTTGCTGGGGCTGGCTTTGAACTTGAGATAACTCCTGCCTCAGCCACCTTAGGTGCTGAGATTACAGGCATGTTCCATCATGCCCAGCCATGGTACTGGAGTTTGAACCCAGGTCACATTATCACTATGCTATGTTACCTATGTCCTTTCGATTTTTTTGTTTTAAGACAGAGTCTTACTAAATTACTGAGGGTCTTGCTAAATCGCTGAGGTGAGCCTTTAATTTGTGAACCTACTGCCTCAACCTCCTGAGTTGCTGGGATTGCAGATGTCTGCCACTGTGCCAGGCCAGAGTGATAGTTCTAAACACAAATATGATCTTGATACTCATCTGCCTAAGGTTATTTAATGTCCCCACCCATGCCAATTAGCAGTGCTATTCAACAGAACTTTCTGCAGACATGTAAAAAAATATCTGTTCTGTCCATAGGCAGCTACCAACCACAGTGGCTATTGAGCACTTGAAATTAAACTAATCTGACTTGGAGACTGGATTCTAAGTTAATGTATTTAATTAATTTAAGTATAAATCTAATGTGTCTCCCTTTAGTGGCTTATAGGATCAAGTCCAAACTCCTGAATATGCATACCTAGTCCTTTATTTTCTAGGTTCTATTTCATTTCCCACCCTTTCAACAGCCAAATAAAATCCTGTAATTCTGTAATCATAATATAGTCTATCACATCTCCCTGTTATTGCACTCTCTGCTGAGATGATATTTCTTTACTCATTCATCTGGAAAATTCATATTCTGCTAGCAAGACACAGGTTAATAATACCTTTCTAAGCAACTTTTTCCAACCACTGTACAGGAATGGTGTGTTCTCTTTTCTATACTTCCACAATCTCTTTCTCCTGCCCCCAACACAGACTATTG